TGTGCAACCATACTAATTTTATAGAAATAAAATGAATAAAAGACAGGGAAATTGAAACGAGGCCTGGTTGGGACCCCATAGTAGAGACCTCGCCATGTCCCTGGCCTCACATTTCCTTGACCTATATCTTGATAGATCGTCCCCCTGCGGCTCGGAATGTCTCCTGTCCCACCCAGTTCCCTGTTTTAGAAAATTACCCTGAAATTTAAGATTAATACCCTTAGGCTTATTGATTACAATCTCAGTGGTCTACCAGGCTACTCCCATCATTGTTGCTAACTCCACCAGAGAGCCACGTGGCCAGAAGGAAGGCTCCGTGCAGACCCCTGGAATCATCACGTAGCCTTTAAGGGAACACCCAGATTTTCCTTTAAATACCCCAAGCCAAACCTGTTAAGGCGGGTTTTGAAAGTGTTAACCTGCTTCCTTCTCAGACCACTGAGTGCTCTGATAATAAATGCTTATTCTATCACCCAACTCCTGTGTCCGTCTATTGGCTGAGCGGTGCAGGTAACACAAGCCCAGGTTTAGGTTGGCCTCTGTTTTCAATTTCATTTCTGTCTCTCTTCATCCCATTCCGTTCCCTACATATTAAGATGATATACACACTTCCTCACAAGCCCAGATTATACACCAGGGATCAGTGAGAAGTCAAACTAATGGCAAAACTAAATAAAAATGTCCAACGCAGGAAATAATTTTCCTGAAGTACCATCCTATCCTGCTTCCCTTCAGTATTAAATGCATGCACACGAAGCACACTTAGAATAGGGCCTGTGCTGTAATAATAATAGTTTTGATGCGAGCCAAGCGAGTAGCCCCCTGAACCCCCACCTCCACCCCACTGGAAAACTTTTAGGTCTCCTCCCTAGTTTCTTAGCCCCTGGCTCTGATTACTCTTCTAATCAGTTTCTGAATCCTAGATTAAAGACTGCCCCTAGACTGAATCGAAGAATATCTCTCACTCACCCTAGCATTAGATAACTACTTAAAGCCTGTGACTTGCCAGCATTCTCCAAGCCATTCCAGACTTAACTCTCAAATAGTCCCATCCCAGAGACTAAATAGGTTTTAAAATTTACCTAGGCCAGCATACTTGATTGTAAACATTAAAGGCTAATGTTCTTTCCAAATCAATAGCCACCCTACATCAACAGCTTTGAGCTCTGCTCTTTAAGAAATTTATGGGCCGGATGAGTGGCACCTTGGTTGAGTCGGCCTGGGATGCCGGCTCTGAGCAGCAGGGCCCTGGTTCAGATCCCACATTAGGGCCAGTGATGCTGCGCCCTCTACAGCTAAGACGGTGAACAACAGCTCAACCTGGAGCTGAGCTGCCATGAGTCACCGGTGACGGCGCAGGCTGCAGTGGGGCTGCAGTGGGCTGCCATAGCTACCGTGAACAACCGGCAGCCAGCGTGAGCTGCCAAGAGCTGCTGTGAGTGGCAACCAATCTGCCTCGCCCGGGAAGAGCGCAATGATAATATCAACATGGGCCAGTGAAGTGACGTCCTCCACAATTAGACTGAAGAACAAAAGGACAGCAACTTGTCTGTTCCCCTTTCCCAATTCCCCAGCGCTGTTCCCCTCCCCTAATTCCCCAATAAAATCTTTAAAAAAAGAAATTTATTAATTAAAATCTATTTTTTCCTCATTTAGGGGTCTTGGGGATACAGATGACACCCAACAAGATTGCCAGTCTCAACCAAAGACAACACTGTCTCCCAGGCAGATCTCAAGACCCCTTCCTCTCACCTGAGATCAGATAGGTTGAGAGTTCCATGAATCCCCCAATAGGGAGGGACAGCTCTACATCCCTGCCCAGCAGAAAGCAGATACAGAAGAAGAGACCTCCTGTCCCTCCACTTCCCAGAGATTTTATGGGGATCACATCTCTCAAGGGAAAAACAAGGCAGGCATTGGGTCTCTGCATTCCTGCATGTCCCACAGAATGCACTGCCCAAAAGACCTCCCCTCTCCACCCAAAACTTCTCTTTTTTTTCTAATAAACTCCTTTTCTAAAGAGATGAGATCAATCAGATGGTCCCACATCCAGGAACAGCCCATTCTAGAGGAAGAAGGGATAAAACGCCAAATCCTGGCCAGTCAACGCCGTTTGAGCATTTTGAGCCTTGCTTCTGCTCGGGGCCGCTCCAAACTCTTTGCAGTGTGCTTTTTCTCCTAATAATGACTCACTGGCCCTGGCCCTTGCCCTGGGTCCCCCGCTTTTTGAGCTTTCTTTGCTCAGCCCGCTCAAAACTCTTTGGAGTGTACTTTCTTTTCTAATAATGGCCCTTGAGCCATTCTCTACTGCTCGGGCCCACTTCTGCTTCTTTGAAATGTATTTTTTTTTTTTTTTAGCTGAGCCATCCCGCCACCTGTTGGCAGCTCACGGCTGCTCAGCTCGGGCTGACTCGAACCGCTGTTGCTCAGAGCTCAAACTCTTGAGCGAGCTCTTAACCAACTGAGCCACTCAGCCGGCCCTGAAATGTATTTTTACTTCTAATAAACTCCTTTTCGGAACTTGACCTCTCTGGTCTGTGTCTCCATTCTTCGGCTCCGCGAGACCACAACCTTGGCACAAGAAATATGATACAGCAGTTTCCACACTGAGCACCACTATGTGCCGGGCACTGTCCCTTTGCTTCCACATGCGTTATCTCACCTTCCCAACCCAGCCAGGTAGATACCATCTCCACTGTAAGTCCAGGGGAGCACACGCAGGAAAATTTAACTTGAGCAAATAGCTAGCTGGGCTTTAAACCCATGTTTCTGTGACTCTAATAAAAGCTTGATATATAGATTCTCTTCTGATCTTTACCTTCTCCACCTTTACCTTTACCTTACCTGTACCTCCCATCTTATATGTTAGAGTGTCTGGAGAAGACAGAGAACACATTGAATCATTGAGCAAGTTTCACTAACAAAGGGAGAAAGCAGAAGGTGTGGGCAGGGTTAGGATGGAGCAGCTAACACCCTGGGGCTGGGTAAGAGCAATGATGTTGTTATCTGGGCTAAAGAGAAGGAACAGTTACCGGGAACTCGAGGGGGGCATGCACTGAGAGCAGTGGCCTTTGGTAGGGGGCTAAAACTAGCCTGCAGGGTCCCCACAAGGAGTGCTCTAGAACTTAATCCCTCCTGCTACAGTTTCACTGTTTGCGTACCTTCAGAGAATTACCCTTGAACATCTGTTCACGAGTTCCACAATTTTCACGCAGACACCACAAGGCTTGCGTCACTATATTCTTTATTTTTATTCTCCTTCCCATTGAACCCTCTCTTAGCTCTCCTGGACTTCTGTCCTAAGTCAGGGGAACACATTCCTTGAGAATGAAAAGAAGAGAGAACCAGGAGGCCTACACCTGAAGCAGAGACAAAAAGTGGGGTTTGTGGTTCAGCTTCTGTGAAGTCACCCCACCTCTCCTCTGAGCCCCCGAGCTCTGATCTTGAGGGTGGGCAGGAGCCACAGACCACGGAATCAGGCCCTCCCTATGTAGCTTCTGTGTAGGATCACAAAGAACATGGGAGGCTTAGAAAGGGAACTGGGAACTGGGGAAAGTTAGGAAGAACCATGGCTACCACAGGGGGGCACTGCGTCCCCATGGGCTCTCCTGGAGTGACTAAGAAGAGATCAGTCAAGGGCAGCAAACCCCTCCTTTGCTCCCAGCAGACAGCATCTCTCCTTCCACCTAATTCATGGGTTTCTTATGCAGGGACATCTATAGGAGAGACACACATGGTCACCACCCATTTCACACACACCCTCCATGAGAGGCACATACTCATGCGCACTCACGTATGTGCACAGAAATGAGGTTCTCTCCCTCTTCTGAAGATTACCCTGCTAACAGTGTTATCTGTGCAGGTGGGTGTGCTAAGACCCACCTTCCCTTCCATAAGGCACAGCTATTGCCAGTCAAGGCTGCTTCTGGTTAGAGTTCTTTGCCTTTTCCTCATGTTTTGTTTACCTAGGAGCTAGTTGGCCAATGTTTCCGATTACACAGCTTCTTTTCTTTAGTGTGGCACTTAAGCACCTGCTGCCTACCCTGCATGTGGTCACCCAACAGCCTCACCCTTTCTGGTCCTCGCCTATTACATTTAAAATAGACTCAGCCCTGAGAGTGATGAAACGCTCAAGAACTACAAACATGTTCCAGGCCCCACTTCCATGTCAGCATGTCAGCACCTGACATCAAGCTGCATTAGTCGTCAGCTCAGTTTCACTGAGAAAAGTGTATAATCGTAGGGCTTCTATAAAGTAATTTGGCAAAGATCTTTAGTATTCCATCCACAGTCCTTTGGCAAATGACACTATAAAGTGCTTTCTCGTTTTTACTTTTGTGCCCCAGGAGCCCCAGAATCAGCCTGCAATGGCCACAAAATATCAAGTCCTCTTGATGGTTATTGTTCATACTTGAAAGCTTCTCAGAGAACCACAGTCTAATTAACTAGCTGAATTCTGGGACTCATGGGGGAGGAGGAATTCCTGACAGGAAACCCTCCTTGCTGCTGGGACTCATCTGAAGGAGTCTTTATTGGGATCAACTATGAGCAACCCCCCACTAGTGACTGCATGAGGCCTGGTCTGCTGATTATACTGACCCCCGAACTCCCTGGGATCACCTAAAATGGAATCTCGGTGACCCCCAGGAGGATCCTGCAGGAAGGCGGGTCACAAGATGTCCTTGGGCACTTCAGTCAGCTTTCTGTACTTCCTTAAGATCATGATGTTGGTGACATCTCTGAAATCCAAAGGCATTTCTCAATAACTGATAAGGAAGTCTTCTAAGGTCTAAGTAGTTCCTCTCCCAAAATGTAAAGATACTATGAATATCAAGGACACCACCAATCTATTGAATAGGTATTATGTAGTCACATTTTGTGAAGTGTCTATGCTCTGCGGGCCCCCTCCCATGGTTTATGTCACTTTAAGAAGAGAATGTGACAGTTGGTCAGGAAGAGGGTGGGAAAGGGGCAAGATGCAGGTATAGTCGGACAAAGAGTAATGGTGCTCAGATTCCTCTACAGTTTATTGTTACAGCAGAAGTTGTGGGAGACAGGAGAGCACCTTCCACACATAACACGCTGTGGTCAGAGCCCCAAAGTAGCCCTTTCCACCCCTATGCCAAGCCCCAAGCAGCCCTGCCCCAGGTTGGGTCCTACCCGTCCCACTCTAGACGCACACAGTCTAGACAGCTACCAGTTAGTGCAGCCAATGGCCCCAGGCCCCTTCCTATTGCCCCAGCTCCAATCCTTTCCTCAAACTTGTTCATTGCCCACCACCTCCCAGTCCAACTTCCATTCATGTTCTGGATGTTTCTCTCACATCCTGAGGACCACTAACCCACCAGCAAGCCTCCCCTGACACATTCATTTAGGCCCATATCCTTCAGAGATCTGAGGGGTTAATGAGAAGCCATATCCGCTTTGGTGAATGGAGACCCAGCCCTACCCTTGCAACGGGATGAGCAGGGCGAGTCTGGGGGAGGCACCATGGACAACTACAGCAACCTCCTATCCCTCATCTACAGCCACTAGATTAGGGAGGGGGACACACACCCTCTCCACCTTAAACCAGAATGAGGGAGAGGGGTCATTTAGCGGTCTGGGTCCCTAAGAGATATTAGGATCTCTCTCTCAGAAGCTGAGGGGAATCACAGGTTAGAGGTCAAGGTTAGGGAAGCAATCAAAGATCAAGGTCATCTCCCCACATGATCGGCCCATCTTCCCTTGTTCATTCTGGCCCAGTGCCCTATGCACCTCCCAGGTTAGTGCTGGGGGAGGTGAGGGCTGGGTCCGGCACCAGGGCAACAAGGGCCGTTCAACAGGAGACCTCCATGGTGTGCCCTGGGGGCCCTGAAGGGAGCGCCCCAGACTCGCTGCTCTGGGACAGGGTGCGAGAGCGGGACCGGCTGCCATCAATGGATGCCGCACTGGTCAGGGAAGCTGTGCGAGAACGGGACAGGCGAGTCATGCAGGACGAGGCCACTGCGGAGAGAGAAGGATACGCAGGCCGTCAGAGAGGAGCTGGGGAAGAGATTCTGCAACTCAGAGCGGGGTGACTGGGTACAGATGAGGCCAGGGGGGTCAATGAGCTTGATTTGGCAGATGGTGGTTAAGCCCAGGAGTTAGCCTAAAATGCTTCCTCCCCTCAGTGGCCAACCTTCCTCCTATGTAGCAATCCCTCGTCCTCACTAGAGCCTCTGACCCCTATACTCACTGTAGCCCATGCCTTGCAGGAAGTACTTGATGGCCTCGGTCAGCTTGCCTGGCTGTGGAAGAAAAGATGAGGAGAGGGAGACAGTGAGGTGAGGTGAGGAGCTGCGCGGGAGTCCCAGGCCCTGGCAGCTTGGGAATGAATGGCCAAGGGTATCTAGTCCAGTGCCATGAATACCCCACCCCACGGATGGCAGGGGTACTCACCTGAGTCAGCTGGGGCTGACCTCCAGAGTCGGCCATCTGTTCAGGAGAGCGCCGCCCAGAGAAAGTGATACACACATGAATACAGTGAGCCGGGCTGGGAGGTAGAAAAAGGTCTCTCTCCCCTGCATCCCCACTGTAGGCCCTTAGGGGTTTCTTGTTTTATTGGTTTTGGTTGTTTTGTTTTTGTGTTTACTTCATCCACTCCGCTTGCTCCCAGGCAGGACCCTGGAGGCCTAGGCCTGGAAGCGGAATCTAGGATTCAGGATATACGGCTCTGGACAGGAGTCAGGCTGGGCATGGAGGAGGGTTACTGACCTTGAGGAAAGAAGTCTGGGTGGGGTCCAGCTTTGAGTTACATTCCACCTGGAGTAAGCAGGAAGCTGAATAAATGAGGCCACACTCCCTGTGGCCCCTCCCAGCCAAAGGACCCAGGAACCCAGACCCCAGTTCCTTTCCTATCAGCCCCCTGCCATGTCCTTCTTACCAGGAATCAACCTCTTATGCACCAAAGTTGCTCTCCCTGTCCCAAACTGAGCTTGCCTCTTGGCAAGGTACCCCTCTGACCACCACCATAGGACTCCACACCTCCCTCATCCACTCCCAGATTCCCTACTGACCACTGCGTCTTCATGGGGTGCCTGGTGTGCTACCACCAGCATCACGGGGCACCTAGAGGAACAGAGTTGGGGAGGAGGTGGTGAGTCCTGGCATTCCCTCACCCCCCTCCTTCCCAGAAGAACAGCTGGAAAAATTGCCTGGCTCCAAAGAGGAAACAGCCTTCTGAACCCCACTGACCCCACCAAGAGGATTCAAAGGGGGAAGGCCTAGAGAGCAGTTATTTGCTAAGTGGGATGGGGTGGGACCCCTCCCAAAAGACGAAGGAGTTATAAAACATGTCCAGAGCTTTGGTCACCATGCAAAGTTATATTGTCTTCTAAGCTCTTTCCAATTTGATTTATACTTTCCCACCCCAATCTTCCCTCTCCCACAGACAGTTTCACCCACCCAAGAAGCTAACTGTGTCCAGTTGGCTGTTGTTTTTGTTTTGTTTTCAGGCAGCAAAAGTTATTCTCAGAGACTGAGCTGTCTTTGCCAGCAATTTATTTAACACAGGTTCACTATGGAAATTGTAATCAATTTACAAGCATAGAGGAAAATATTTTTTTTTCTTTTTTTTAATTTTATTTTATTGGGGAATTGGGGAAGGAAACAGCTTTGGGAAATCGGGGAAGGGGAACAAAAGTTGCTGTCCTTTTGTTCTTCAGTCTAGTTGTGGAGGACATCGCTCCACTGGCCCATGTTGGTATTATCATTGTGCTCTTCCCGGGTGAGGCAGTCACTTGCTGGCCATTGGACAGCCACTCACGGCGGCTCTTGGCAGCTCACGAAATGCTGGCCAGGCCCAATGTAGCCTACACCATTGCTGGCGACTCACGGCAGCCCAGCTCCAGGTCAAGCTGTTGTTCACCATCTTAGCTGTAGAGGGCGCAGCATCACTGACCTCAATGTGGGATCCGAACCGGGGCCCTGCTGCTCAGAGCTGGTGTCCCAAGCTAACTTTTAACCAATGCACCACTCGGCCAGCCCAGGAAAATATTTCTTAATAAGCCAAATAAAAAAATAACATACTCCAAACAAATGACAGATTTATCACATTACTGTTTAGGCAGAAGTAAAGGAATAAAATCCAAATTTAACATGAGGTGTATTTTTGTATACAAGTAGGCACTTGGGAGAGTCAGAGTTCAACCTACAGCTTTTACAAATGTAAAAGCACCTTGCTAGGGAATGAGGATGCCAGTTTGTTAAGCAGGCCAATATCTTTCATGGGTTCCCTACAAGGTTTATCACTACTGTCTGCAAAGAGTGACTCCCCAAGACAGGAGTGAACGAGTGTCCCAGGGTTTTTGGAGAGATTTGGGGTTAATGAGGAATCACCTGGCCCAAACAAAACTTTCAAATAGTCCTCACAAACTCTCAGTATTTATAGTCCAAATATCCACTTGCTATAGTTGCTTCTCCAGCAGAGCCCCTCACTGCTTATCATGACAACAAATGTAGAATGATGGCATCCCAGCATTGCTTACCTATATCAAAGAAACTTTTTGTCCTTTGTCATAAACAAGTGGATTAAAACAACTTTACTTAAGTCATAAACAAGTGGATTTGTGGATTTGAAATCATATTAAACCTATACACACACTGCCTATCCACTGGGCTTGATTCTGAATCCTAGATGGAGGCCCAGAGCTTCAGCTCACACCATGGCAACCAGCACTCAACTCCCCATCCCCACCACCCTTCTCTTCTCCGTCTTTCCCATTTGATTTCACCCTTGTGAAAGTTCCCCTCTCACCAACTTTGCCTATTCAACTTAAATATTAGTTAGAGGGGAAAAAAAGAAAAATTCACTCATTGTGTCTTGCTCTTTGATTCCAAAAATGAATCTACATTTGTAATTTTTCAAAAACATTTGATACATATATCTGGAAGCCTACACTTCTTAACTTAAAAGACTAATTTATCCTTAATTGTCTTTATAACTCAGGTATAGCATGACAACTTTCTTATCTTTGTTCAGGAGGAAAACTTTTCCTTTACTCTTCTAAGTTCTCCTGACTGGTCTAATAATCAAATTTACATGACACAGTTTAGCAGGAGAAAAACAAATACAAATTGAATAACGTGTATACCTCCTGTATAGATGTGTTGACGTAAGAATGTCCAAGCCTGTAGAGAATTTTTAAAGACTTTATTTGAGCCAAACTAATGAGATGCAGGAAGTAAGACCTCAAATGCTCTGGAAAAATGACAGTTTTGCAGTTCCTTTTAAACATTTGGAATTAAGAGGGAATACAAGGACGATTACATGAAGTTGGGAGAAAGCAAGCCAGGAAAATCTCTATGATTAGATTACAGGATAGTTAAGATTATGTGCTCTTCTGAAAGTGATTACACCTCTGAGGGATCTGAAAAAGGCATTTCGAAGGTGTGTAACCTAGATGCACAAAAACAGTGGACTTACAGTGAACATAAATGCTTTATAGGCCTGGGGAGTGGCTACGCACCAATACCTGCCTGCCCAATAAGGAATTTAAAATCAGACCACACTGTGAGGTTACTTTCGGTTAGATTTATTACAATGCCTCTTTTTCTGTCCACACATGGGAGAAACCCAGGAAAACTGAGTAATTGCCAAAATTCAGACGCCATTGCCTTAAATATTATCTTCAACTGAAAACAAAAGATGTTGGTAGTGGGGAGTCACTTATGGGAGATTACCAGGAAAAGCAGAGTAAACAAGTGTAAGATTATTATGCAGATTTGAGTCCATGCTTTCTGCACTGATAACAGTTTCTAGAGATTTAGAGAATGTCCTGTCCTCCTGTCCTAGTACATCAAGGGAGGCACCCTTAACAAAGGGAGATTTCCTTACAAAGTAAATATCCTTTACAGAGGGTAACTTTTACTTGGTTTTCAGAGCTTTTCCCATATGTGTTGTTCCTTAAAAATTAACCAGCTTAAAATAATTCTGATGCCAAAGAGAGATATTTTGGAGTGTCAAGTTCTGTTCCCCTACATCTTCATCAAGTGGGTCATTTTATTAATGCAAAATAAAAAAATGCAAAATAGTTATTGAGAGTTTTAATTCAAAACCTTTATTTATGTTACATCATTACAGTAGCCCTGAGTGGGAGACAGGTAGCACTCTATATTTATTACTACAAGATATTATACGCAACTTCCTGAGTATAAAGATGGATTCATTGAACCTACCTCCCCAATCCTCAAATTCTACCCTCAGTCTCATGGAATGTGAGTTCGGATCTCATTATCTTAGCTTCCAACTACAACTAAACATGATGCCATGCACATAGCAGTAGCTTAATAATTATTTCTTGTTTTGATAGATGCAGCCCAAAACAATTAAACTTTTCTAAAAATGATTTTGAATCAATAATACCTAGAAACATTGTCTGCTTTCATGGTTAGTATACCTATTTGGCAGTCTTCAGCGGGCATTGATCCAGAAAACTTCCTGAAGGTATTGTTTACTTCTTCCTTTTACTCATGTCTTGAAAGTTTCAACTTGGAGTTTTAACAATAACCTAGATAATCAATTTAGGTTGTAAAACAAAATTAATTTGAAACTGTAATAATGAATAAAAGCATTTATTTGATTAAAAATTGCTGCAGCCCAGGAGACAGAGTCATGTAGCAACAACCTAAATTGTGATCCTCTGAAACAAAGAAAGAAACTTTGCTTTGACGTCTTTCTCCATGCTCCAAAGGACACTCTCTTGCTGACCCTCTCAGCTTTCCAGTTTCCCCTAATACTCCCTCCTGCCTCTCCCCTCCCTCCAGTGATATCATGTGTAGAAGTCAACAGGGCTTTCATTCAAGAGAGAAGTAAGAGATACAACTTTGCTAGGCAGTCTCATGTGAGCTAATGAATTGACCTGGAAAATATTGTTTAGAGAGAGGGGAGGGGGTTAACAATAGTTCTTGGGGGAAATCCATATTTAAGAGGAAAAAACGAGGAACACATGAAAAAAAGGGAAACCTGGTAGGTGTCAAGAAAATAGGAAGGAACATAAGAGGATTGGAGAGTCACAGAGATAAGGGAGGAAAGAATTTTGAGAATCAGGAGGTTTTTGGTATTGGCAAATGTGTAAGAGAAGCCAAGAAAGCTAAGAATTGCAATGAGGCTATTGGATTTCACTTTTAGGAGTTAAATGATAATTTTCTTTTATAAAGAAACATCCTGCCCATAGTTCCCATTTTTGTCAGTTTTATGCAAATGAGTTTTCCAAATCCTGTATTTCTGATTGGTCCAAATAGTGCTGTTCCGATTGATCGGTATAGATGTAAACTAGGATACAATTTGTGCATTTCTGATTGGATGGGGCAGATGTTAGTCCATTGGTCAAAAACAAAACCAAAGGGCCCAGCCGAGTGGCGCGGTGGTTAAGAGCTGGCTTGGGACACCAGAGGGCCCCTGTTCGGATCCCACATATGAGGGCCAGCGACACTGCCTTCTACAGCTAAGATGCTGAACAACAGCTCAACCTGGAACTGGGCTGCCATGAGTCGCTGGCAAGACATAGGCTGCAGTCCCTGCTGCAGTAGGTTGCCATGGGCTACCGTGTATAGCCAGCAGCCAGAGTAAGTGGCCAGCAGCCGCGGTGAGCGGCCATCCAGAAGCGGGCAACTGATTTGCTTCGCCCGGGAAGAGCGCATGATGGTGCCAACTTGGGCCAGTGAAGCAACGTCCTCCACAACTAGACTGAAGAACAAAATGATGGCAACTTGTCTGTTCCCCTTCCCCCAATTCCCCAGCGCTATTCCCATCCCCCAAATTCCCCAAGAAAAACCAAAAAAAAAAGCACCAAAAAAAAACCCCACCAAAACCAAAAAATTCCCTATGCTGATTGACTCAGGTGGTGTAAACAGGCAGAGGCATAGTACAGGAGGTTAAGATTTCAGCCTCTGGCGTTTTCCGAAATGCAAAGTGTGTATGAGCAGCTTCTGCCAGCAATAGCCAGGAGACTCTGGTTGTGAATTTGGGCCCAGTTAACAGGAAGTCCATTTTGACAGATGTATTCTAATCAGATTTATTTTAACCTCTAATGCCACGTTGAAACTTACTGAACTAAATGATCTCAGGC